TGCAAATAGTACAACCTTCATAGCTTCTATAGCGCCGTGTGAACTCGTCCACCTTCAGATGCGTACGTAGAGTTCTTACTACTATCCAGGAGGTCGTAGTGATGCACGCCTTATACACTCCACCCAACGCAGAAACATCACCTTTCACGGGCGTAACTCAGCTTTTAATTTGGCATTTGCTGCTGATCTGCATCCACTCACTGATGCCTCCACGTATGGTTTACGTGCACTCACTTCTCGTTTCCAGTAGCGATCTTGTCAAGCCAGTCGGAACGGCGATCTCTGGACGTAATTTTTGGCAGATGTTCACCATTGCCGTAGAGCAACCTCACTTAATTCGTGTAAAATCCATCTCCACAGTTTGTACGAGTTCTCCAGCTCGGGAGAAATGTTCATGACTTTTGGGAACTTGCCTTTCCGCAGCAAAGAAACAGTCACTACCGTGTGGATTGCTCTGTAAGAGTTTCTCAATCTCACTACTATTCTTGCCCTCGGAGCCCCAAGCAGAAACGACGATCGGTCTTATGCGGCACAAATTTTCGACGGGCTACTCCTGCTACATGTCCTAGACGAAACTTGAAAAGAAGACAGTAACGAAAGTGATCAAACTGGACGCACTGCTGCTTCACAGAGGCAAGTCGCGACGTTAAAATTTCGCGTAGGAAGTAGGATGAGGTCCATTCATACTACTTCGGCGGGAAAAACAGAAACATGTTTTGAAAAATTCAGCGTCGTTTCAAAAAAAAAAGAAGTGAACATCACTAATTACTCAAGCTGATAGAATAAATCTGTACATATCTTTTTGTGTATGATTATACATATGCATACTGTACGATACTATATGATACCTAATGTTAGCTAATGATAATGAATTGTAACATATGAGAGTCAATAAATTCGACAGATATTTTCAAATCGCAATCAACCTATTTCCATTCGTTTGGAAGACATCGATCCTCTCCATGAGTGGGATCCAGTTGAGTATGTTCCCCTGTGCTCCACTCGAAGTCAAACTTTAGATTTTCAGATAGTCCAACTGATATTGCCCTGCGATTGCCCGCCTACGATTCATCGTTTCTCAGTTCGACGCTAGCTGATGGCAAGGCGCACCCAATTGTGGAAGTTCAGGTCATGCAGAATGAGAATGAGTAAGTATCTATTGTACGTGCCCTACCAGTTTGCATCGCAATGTTCTGCATCACAAAGGGCAATAAATGCAGCAACTTGTCACACTCATCGAGTGCCAAGTCAAGTAACAGAATAGGTGCAAGGTGGAGGGAGCGCACGTTGTATATGTCAGTTTTGTAAACTGAATGCTAGTAAACCCAATTACGCTGATTTGTATCCGAGATACAGCCAACATGGATCGTGGCAGGGCCGCAAATCATCGGCAGGACCGAGTCTCTCGACCTGCACTCGAAATTGAATCAGGAAACAAATCAATTCAATCAATCAAAAATGATTTTCAGTCATTTAAGTCAAAAAGTTTATGAATCTGAACCTCCACCTTTCCCCTAGCGTTAATCCTTGTCCGTCGCAGGATACCACTGTTCTTCTAACCCGTCTCCATTTCATTCCATCTGCAGCATATTCTGCTGCCCCTTCACTGCAGGCGAGATCCTTCTTGATTGTGTCCCAATTCAAATCTATTGGGCTCCTCATGCTCACTACCTGAATCTTTGAATTTCATTGCATTTTTTGACGAAAGATCCTCTGCTCTACTCAGTACCTGCACGTACCATCGAAGGCGCTGCTTCAACTGGACAGGGAATGTTTGTCTGACCGAACTGATTTCTTCGTTCCCCTCCGATCCAGTCACTTCCATTCGTTGGCCTATTTTAGCACTCTGAATTCGTCAAAGTGAAGATGTGTCTCACGATTCCTGCTGTAGGTCAACACTTCACCATAAAGCATCTTGAGCCTTACTACTGTCCGGTGTATACCCTTGAGCAGGGTCTGTCGTGGGGGACACCAGTGCACTCTACCCATCTCTTCCAGGCGGCGTGATTCAGCCTTCACAGTCTGATTCACTTTACCGTCACCAGGTACCGCAAGCCTTGGAAACTTTCGATGCATTCTCCAGAGCTTTCTATGAGGGGCTATGCAGACTTTACGGAGCTAAGAAACTTGGTCTTTTCAACTCTTTTCAACTTTTAGCCGGAGACCGTTCTCTCCTAGCCTATTCTACCACTTCTGCCGTATGACCTGGAGATCTCCTTTTCTGCTCGCGATCAGAGTGACGTCTCCAGCGTGAAGGATGATCCTCAGTGGTCATCAAGGATCCCTTTTCGAGGATTTCCAATTTCAGTAGAGCGATTAACGGCTCACAGCTGATTTCTAGTGTCTCTTGCTTTTGCTAGGCCGTAAAGCGTGTGTACAGTTGTTTAGGTCCATCCTACATGTATCTGACCAGGGGAATCCGATCTTTCAAAAGACTGGTCGCGGTGGGCGGTCAAACGCTTTTTCCAGATTAAGGAAAGCTAGGTGACAAGGTCCGACCTTTCTTCGATTTTTCTCCATCTTTCGCCTAACTTTGTAGGCGCTCGTTGGTAGGTCCTTTTGGCTCTGATTGTCACTGTGAGATCGGGACCAGACCCTTCAATCGTGAGTCAGGCAAACGCTTGTGAAATTTCATTGTGAGAGCAGACAACCTGAATCCCACGTAGTTGAAACACTCATTCGCGTCCAGGTCTTCTTGAAGTTGCTCCTCCACGCAGAATCGGGTAAACCACTTAATCACGCACTTTCCTAATCTTATCTCTTCGAAACCACTCGCTCTCGACCATCATCTTTCATATTGCACGACAGACTTCATCATCTGCCCATGGCCCGTTTGAGCCAGCAGTCGCCTCTCTTTATAGGCTGGTTTCGCTGTGCAAGCCCATCGGAGTATCCTTGCAGCTGCTCTCGAGTTCGGCTGGGTTTTTAAGGATAGTACTCTCGCTGCTCGTTACGAACTTCACGACCTCGATATCCTGTGTCGCCCGATACCGTGCACTTTTAAACCGGACTACGAACTTTTTTCTTCTCGCTGTCGAGCTTCCTGTACAGGCTTCACTTCAGAATTCTTCGCTAGGCAGCCTTGGCAAGNTTGTGAAATTTCATTGTGAGAGCAGACAACCTGAATCCTTCGTAGTTGAAACACTCATTCGCGTCCAGTTCTGCTTGAAGTTGCTCCTCCACGCAGAATCGGGTAAACCAC